GGAGAAAAAATAAAGTGGCAAAATTATTGAGTGTTTCGTTCTACAGAATTAATTATAGAATCAAATTAATTAATAATATATTTTGTCAACTTTTTAAGATTGAAATTTTGATGTTGGTGTAAAAAAACAAAATTAATGTTGAACACTAAAAGCATCTATGACTTATGAAATTGTACCCATGTTTTGTATAGAAAAAAAATTACAATAAAAACATGATTGCTAATTCAGTAATAATCACTTAATCAGCATTAAAATCGGACTCCAAAAGAAAATCAAGCACACAAAATTTTACAATTTTGTTCATACACATAAAACGAAGCTTCAATCCCTTCTTTTATAATCAAACGATTTAGTTACTTGTGGGCCGAGGCGGAACCTACAGTGAGTAATTAAAACTGGGCCCATAATTTAATTAACAGTTAATCGATCCATCAGCAAATTAGTAATATGAGTCTGCTAACTCATATTTTCCATCAGCAACAATGTTAATAGTGAACATTGTGTAATTTATTTTAATATCTAATTAAATAAGAGTATGCTTAAATTTTATTTAATTTAAATTATACCTTAAGTTTAATTCATTGTAATTTAAGAATAAGCATTTTTTTTTGTTTGTTTTAGAGAGAATCTTATTTTTTAAATTATTTTTCTAACTTCCCTAACTCAAAATCATACAGGGATTGACGGATTGAGCAGCTAGGACTTTCCAAAGTAGTGATTATTAAGCTTGATCCTAAATCATGTCTTTGTTAATTTATTTAGTTCGTGTATGATGAATTAACGCGACAAAAATGGATAAATATTTTGTGACTTCCAAATAAACCAATAAGCACAATTGTATAGAAGTTGTTTCAACTTTGCTTCAATCCATAAATCTCTTGTCATTGTATAGAAGTTGAACCCTTCATCTAATCTAAGTTTGGACCAAATTTGTCTCACCTTGGCACAATCACACAACAAACAAGTGATTGTTTCCTCCTCTAGTCCACACCTACAACAAAAAGGATCAAACACAAGCATGATGTTTATAGCAGAATTGGCTAGTGGGGAGGCTTTGGTGAAGAACGAATGGAATACTCATGCAATAACCACTTATAGGTAGAATCGGCAAAATAAATTCAAAGAGTTGGAATGTCCCCAAATAAGTTTGTGTTTGGTATAAGTGAATTAAGGTGAAAAAATAAATTAATAAATAAAAAGATGATGAATTTCATTATTTTTTATCTTTGCAACCCGTGGAAATAGGAAAAAAAATGTTTAGAATAACTTTAATCAATTCAAAAGAATCATAATCTATTAAAGTTTCATTATGTTGAAGAAATTTTAATTGATTAATTCAAAAATGTAATCAACTAATTTTCCTTTCTAAAAAGCAATGAGCATCCACTCAATTGATTATTATTTTGATTAATCAACTAAAATATTTCTTGAGTAATATTTAATATGCGTTTAATGACATATCAAATCTATATGATATTTAAAGAATTTAAAATTTAGGATTTAGGATTTAAGGAAATACCAAATCATAGATTGTAGCTAAATATTAAAGTTCCAATCATTCATATTAAAAATCTTGACAAACTAATGAATTGTGTAGTGGTACAAAATTGTTGGTGAATGAATTGGTAAAACTGCTATAGGTTGTAATAATTGGAAAAACATTGGACATAAAATTGACATTATAAAAATGAATTTGATATCATCCAATCTATAAATCCCTCGTAGGTTTTAAAGAAGAAAATTTTCATTGTCCGTGTATTTTGCAATGACTTTGAATAAAAAGTCAAGGATGATCTATTTTAATGGTTAGACTGCACTTACCAAGATTCTTTTTCACTCACAGTCAATTGTATATTACAATATTTAAAGTAAAATCAATAAAAGGTATTAGAATTCTTATTCTGGATGATGCAAGTAAAACCTATTCCTCAACTACACATGTTGTGTGCAATGAAGCGTTTTACACTCTATCTTTCAACTTCTAATCTTAATGTATCATTGTCATATCATAATGATCGTTACTTCTTTTGTAATTTTAATAATCAATGTCTTTTTTTTAATCGACTAAAATATTAAGTCATTATCGTTATGTATAAAATTTACTATTTCTAATAGAATATCTCTTTAATCTACATGTAAGTGACTACAACTTGAATAATTTGGAACTTATGTAAAGAAGGACAAGAAAAAGTAATTAGTTAAAGTGATGACATGATTAAAGTACAGAAAATGTTAAAAGACATAATGTATTTCAACCAACTTAAAATGGTTCACATAAGAAAGTCTATCATGCTACTTATACAAACATATTCATCATCCCCAGATATAAGATAGGAAAAAGTGTAACACCAACCTTTCCAATGATGTTAAGGGTAACATTTGATGTATTCTTGCACTTGCATGCCTATTTTCTATTCGCTTTTATTTTCTTCAGTCAAATACCAATTATAATTATGTTTTAGGTTTTAGATTATGACATTTCTATTGTTTAATATCATTCTTTATTATTATAAAATTTTATAGTGAAAATATTTTGTGTTGATCATTATTTTATCTCATGCATGGTACAGGTTCACACATTAGTACATATATACTTAGGATTCGAAATTACTAGTTAATATAGCAATTCTATATCAACTAATTTATGTGATAAAAATAAATTATTTTATACACTTAAAATATAATTTATTTTATATGAATAACAATAAAAATAATGATTATAATCTATTCAATAAATGTTGTATAAAAATATATTATATTTAACGATGTATTTAGTTATAAAACATATTTTGGTTAATATTTCCTTATACATATCTCAATTTAAAAAGAAAATATTATAATTTTTATTAGTTACAACGATGACAATAAAATTAAAATCTAAGACTTTATACATATTAGTATTTAGTCTGTGTAATGCACAAATCAAATATTTATTAAATATGATTAAAATTTATAATAAATTATATATAAATATAAATATTATATTTAAATATATAAATAATATTTAAATTTTGTATAAATA